TATCAGGACTAAACTAACTTGCGCAATCGATTATGGATTCAATCGATCGCTTTCTGAATCTGAGTTCTGACTATCTGAACTAACTACTGCCTTCGGCTAATAAGCAATACTGAAGCCGTCGACATCCTTACCCTGGCGTTTCCTTGAAATCCAGGGGCCTCACGAATGCCGCTTTGGGCGCAAGGTCCGCACACTCTTTGAGCCCGAGCGCTATCAACTGCATCCAGCGTGTCACGATAATTGGTCATGTCGCTACGAGGTTGTGACACCACGTGTGAAACACGGCTGCACCTGAAAAGGACTTTTGGTTAGGGACTCAGGGTTATTTCTATTAAGAAGCAGGTGGCGCTGAAGTAGCAACAGGCCGAAAGTACGCCGGGACGCTTCAGAGGGGGGAGCAGAATTTGGCGCGGCGAGCAATTTTTGGAGCCGGAAGGCGATCAAAACTGGTGAAGAACAGGTCGGCGCCGTTCCAAACCTATCCCACCCCCCCTGAAACGCCCCAGCTTCAGCAGCGAACAAGACTGTAACAGGCGCTGATCCGTGTTACAACTGCTAGAAGCACTTACTTGTCGAAAATGATCTGATCATGGTTGGCCGCCTCATAAGTTCGCCAAACGTTGTGCATGTCCCGATCGACTATCAAACGAGGAAACTGAAAATAGCCCATTTATTTGACTCCTCAGAGCCCATAGGATTATCGCTCGAGAAGGAAAAAATGCCGGAAGAGAAATGGCGAAAAGCACTTAGTCACCTCGGTTTGAACTCGCGAGACAGTCACGGGTGCCTCGTACGATGGGGCCAAAATGACCACACGGACATCGTTTTGGCTCGTTGCCAAATGGGAAAGCCTGTAAAAGCTCTGGATCAATTACATTATTATAACAGTAATCCAAAGTAGTAGGTAACGCTGGAATACGACCTCTTGACTTAAGGATCGCCCAGGAATCCCTGAGAGACCAAAGGAGCCGACGAATTCACGCCGAGGCCGTTATGACCAACGGAATGGTGCAAAACCAACGTCAGCTGTCGAAACGGGGATAAATCTGAGGTGACTGGGAGCGTGACGAAGTTCAGCGCTGGCTCGGACGAAAAATACTTCACAAAAAGGCCTTGAGTTGGTATCGATATTCAAGTTTTGCACGTGGCTTAGAAAGACGATTGAATAAGACAGACGACTCGAAGGGATTCGAATCAGGATAAATCGCACCCTAACATAATCCGACACGGTTCGCACGCACTGGTAAACATCGGATCAAATTCGCATGAGCGGTACTCGAAAATAAGTGGAGGGGGGGGGGTGAACTTAGGCTGGCGAAAAGAAGAGGGGAAGACTCACACATTCAGGGAAGATCATCTTAATGTGGGGTTTCCAATTTGTGAAATGCAACTAACCTTCGCAACCCTCCCTCCCCTCCCCCCACAAGCAGTGAGGTGGGAAAGTGGATATTATCAAATACAGAAAAATGGCAGCATCACCAAGAAGGAGGGGTCTCAAATGCCGGCATTTTCGAACAAAGTCAATTCGCTCATCCCTTCCTGAATAGAATACTCCTCGCTACCCCCCTCCCCCGCCTTGTCAGGAGATCTCCAGCGGTGACCCTCTATGCATCATCTTGCGAAGGTTAAACTATGCAGGTACTTCAGAATGCTATATTTTGGAAAACCACAATATCGAGCTACGAGAGGTGGGTTCAAACCAGTTCAATTAGGGGAACCCTGGACTTTTCTACCCGCTCGGGTCCCTTGGCTGGACTATATGGATTACCACGGTTCTGACAGTTACCTTTTGACGCCTCGATCCCTCTGCATTGTGAAGGCTAAGCCATGCACCAGAATAGTGTCTTCCCTCTCCCTGCCTCCCCAGACGAGTGTGGTGCCAACCGATCGATCGAAAGGAAGAAGGTTTGTTTGGCCTGGAAGGGAAATCGAGCCCACGTTTGAGCAGCTCAGGGCAATGGGCGTAGGTAGAGAGGCAGAGGAGAACTGATCCACTTAGCTATCCCATAATCTGCGCCCTTTTAGCAAAATACCGTTTGGTGAGGGTCGATTAGGAAAGAGAGGTATCGTTTTCACAAAAGGTATCGTTTTTGTTCGGCTCAGGGGGGGGGTGAATTTTCCTGAATAAACAGTTTCTCCTACTAATTCCTGTCGACTGGTGGGCAAACGACTGGTGAGAGCTGTAGGCCCCTGTCAAGCGTAAATGAAGCTCGGCAATTGAACAGCTTCACAAGAGGTCTCCACGGAACGCGTCAGTGATCAATGTAACCACCGAAATGTCCCCTCCAAGCCGAGCTGGCCGTGCAGAATCGCATTTTACCGTAACCCTGACGCAAAATTGCAGATTGCTGCTCTATTAAAGCACATTTCGATTCATCACAGAAGTGCATTAGGTAACAAAGTTGAACACCAACCTCTTGAGTTGTCGATGGCATAAGGCGCACTGAAGTGGCATGAACGAGACCAGAAGTACGGTATTTTTCGACGCAGAGACGATGTCCACACCGCGAACGGTCAACGACGAGGTGCCACATAGTGAGTGTCGAAATGCGACCGTTAATGTCGTCAAGTGTTGGAAAAGAAGAACGAGCGGAATGAGCACCATTTCAGACAGAGCAAGTTCTTCTTTAGCTCATTTTATACCTGCAGCGAAAATATTAATTATAATGAAATTTTCGTGAGGTGTGGGTCAGAAGGTCCGAGATTCGTTGACCTTAAAATCTAGGTAGGCGCGCAGAAGTTTCTATCTACTTTAATCGACCTACCCTGACTGCTTACGCCGCGCAGCCGCATTCCAAATCTCCTGACCCCGCACCTAGTTTCAAGAAACGTTTAAGTTCCCGAAATATCTCGAGGTCTATAGAAAAATCTTTTTTTTCGTTTCGGAGGCAAGCTAATCCTTGTGGGGCACGTCCTGCCATTGAGGGGAGTTTTGCAAAATACAACCTCCCTCCTCCAAGTTTCCCCCTTCGATACGACTCGCCTCCTCATTCCCCATCCCATCTACCAGCTTCCCGGTTTTTCCCATGATTCTAAAATTCTTCTAGAGTATGGGGATCCGTACACAGCGTAGAACTTTACCAGACTTTTTTCCGAAAATTTCTACACTACTTCCCAAAAAAACTGCTGTCATCGAGTTGGAGAGGAGAGCTGAGAAAAGTCTACAACCAAAAACTTTCCCAAAAGCTACCCGTCGCCTTCTTCGGAGGTGGAGAAGCCACAGACACCAAGAGAATCAGCTAACTGAAGACATGCAACCAAATCACCGTTTGGCATGAAAACGTGTTATTCAAATGAAATAATAGTCACGTTGGCGAGGAAAGGGCATACAGGGACTCCTCGTGCAAAAGAAGGAAGTAGGTGAGGGCTTCTGCTAAGCCTAAAAAGAGAACAGCCCTTTTGGTGGTGAACCGTTTTCATAAAAGATAGTTCTATACGGACAACATTCATTTCATTTTCGCACAAAGAGTCCTTTACATGCCCCCTTCACGGTTGCTAGCGCGCACTGATACATACATGGGAAGAGATCTCCTTGGAGGCCGTTGGTTCCTGGATACCCACACTCAGGCATTTCCTGCGAGATTTACTGCATAATACACAGAAGTGTAATCCTAGCCGCAAGAGAAGCGGGTCTAATTAGCGTCTGATGGAATTTCC